GCAGCCGCGCTTCTTACCATATTGATGAATCCTCGTCTCCCAACATGGTTTATTACCCCTCAATAACTCAATAATCCGCCGTACAACAGACTATTTCACTTGACCATAAAGATAAAACCTTCCACACGTGATGTACGATTAGATTACCCGCTGTTCAATTGACTCTATACAAAGTCGTCAACATAGCTAATTGAAATGTTTATCATCACTGGAATTAAACTTAATCGAAAAAAGTTGAATTTGAACGAGTTCATTTGCACACACCGGACCACCATAACAAGTGGGAGACTTACTTTCATCTGCGATCAAAGGTGGTAATTAAGACAGAAAATTAACCTTCATCATAACGCATATGCCAATTACAGTAACTTTAATACTGACCTTGGTTTTCACCAATGTTCAGTATCATGATTACGGAATTATACTCAATTGACCTTGCGTCTTTAGTATTCCAAAGTAGAAAATACAAGATAATTTATATCGCACTCACTTGGCTCAATTGTTGTATGTATCTATAATGATGTTGCGTCTTTGAATTGTAATGGACTTGTCTATACCGGATTTTTCATTTTCATTTGTCAGTCGACGCCCTCTGGTGTACCACCAAACGACCCGCGGTCCAGCGCAGCATGGTTTTCCTTTAGAACGATTTTAACATTGCACAACTTAGGTCGTGAAACCCAAAAAATTATGGAATATCGTGGGAGACAAGGTGTCCCGTAACAACCGGTGTCCCGTACACCATCCATGCATACAATGGAGCACGTACGACTGACCATATCTCGCGCCGTCAGTGGCCGACCTTGACAATGAGGCAAGGTGGTACCTGACCTTGTCATTTGGCCTATGAATCTTTATTGAATTATATGCACTCGACGGCTACTAGTAAAATGTATAATACTACTTCTATTTCAGATGATCAGGTCATGTCTGGAGAACTACGTATAAAGTTTCATGACAGATGGAATGAAAATTTTTTACGTTTCCATCGTTTCACGAGAGCTATTATAACATCTGGATGTTCCTTTCCCACAAATACTCACCCAGTTATTCTTCTCTTACATTTTACCTACCCGACTGCCTTCCAGGGTAATGTACTTTTCCTTGCTACCTAGAAAAACAAGACATACAAACCCATTCATACAATAAACTTTACGTTTGTCAATAATTCATATTAGCCAATTCCATAATATACTGAATAGCTACTACCAAGTTACATTTTCTTTATTATTTACTATTTGCTGTACTTTTTCTGTCTTTTATCAATGCAGACAGGCTTAAACAAAATCGTACCTCATTTACATCACTGCTTCCCGTATGCCGTTTAGGGAAGTGCAATTTGTGGGGAACCAAGAATATGAATATTAGTACTTCTCATACTGTATTGCAATCCGACTTAGAGTTGGTGCAACCATGGCTGGAAAATTTATTGTAAATTGCTCTAACATATAGTCATTTCCTCGCTTATCACCCAACGATCTCCCTACCACCCATCCAGAAAGTCCCACCCAAGACAATTTGCGAGCTGTTGCACCAATTAACCCCAGATCGGTCAATTGTCGAAAAGTAGTTCATGTATAAACAATAGAATAGTAGACGGGACCATACCGGTATTAAGTCGATTTCTCATGGCCCCAGTTTCCGGGCCCACCTTGCGATCAAGTATATAAATAACGTAAACAACATCGTTTTTATTTACATTCACCCAGATATGTACTTCAAGTCTTACACTCTGGTGCAAGTCTCCATCAGTCTTGCCACCTTGGCTTCTGTGGAAGGTTTCCCCACACCCTTGGGTCTCGTCAATCGAGCTGTTGCCGCCGTTGGATCTGCATGTAGCGGATCCACATTGTCTCCTTCGGTATCCAGCCCTCCTATGTGGATACAAAACGTAACTCACAACGGCACTGCCCCTTTCAATACAGATCCTTCCACTTATCAGGTTTACCGTAATGTTTTGGATTTTGGCGCCAAGGGTGATGGTGTCACCGACGACACTGCTGCTATCAACTTGGCCATCTCATCTGGTGGTCGATGTGGAGACAATTGCACTCCTGGATCTTCCACCACTCAGCCTGCTGTGGTGTTCTTCCCAGCTGGTAAATACAAGGTGTCTTCTCCAATCATCCAGTATTACTTTACACAGTTAATTGGTGATGCTCTGGCTCCGCCTACCTTGGTCGCCTCTGCCAACTTCTCTGGTATTGGTGTTATCGACAGTGATCCCTACGGAAGCAATGGTTATAACTGGTATGGCGATACCAACAACTTTTACCGCCAAGTTCGTAACTTTGTCATCGACTTGACATCAACTCCTTCAACCGCATCATCCACTGGTATTCACTGGCAAGTCGCTCAAGCAACCTCACTTACAAACATTGTATTCCAAATGTCTACCGATTCCAATACCGGTCATCAAGGTGTTTGGATGGAGAACGGATCCGGTGGTTTCATGTCCGACTTGGTCTTCAATGCTGGTAAATATGGTCTCTGGGTCGGCAATCAACAGTTCACCTCTCGTAACTTGACCTTTAATCACGCTGACACCGCTATCTACATGAACTGGAACTGGGCTTGGACCTTCAAGTCTATCAACATCAACAGTTGTCAATTGGGAATCAACATGACCGCTGGAGGCGCTAGCAACCAAGGAGTCGGTTCCATCTTACTTCAGGACGCAACTATCTCCAACACTCCTATCGGTGTCGCCGCTGACGCCTCGCCCACATCGAAGCCGAAGACAGGAGGAACTTTGCTTTTGGATAATGTCAAACTTTCCAATGTACCTGTCGTCGTCAAATCCGATTCTGGTGACACGATTCTTGCTGGTACTACCAGTAGTACCACTATCGAATCTTGGGGTCAAGGAACAGTATACACTAACTCTACCGGTGCTGGTACCTTCAGCCAAGGCAATCTTCCTAATGTTCCTTCCAAGCCCACTGCTCTTCTTGGTACCCAGGGATTCTTCGAAAGACCTCGTCCTCAATATGAGCAATATGATGTCAACAGCTTCTACAGTGTCCAAACTGCCGGTGCCAAGGGTGACGGTAAAACTGATGATACCAAGGCAATTCAAACCGCTATCAGTAACTATGCTGGCTGCAAAATCATCTACTTCCCTGCAGGTGCTTATGTTGTTACCTCTACTATCTCTGTTCCTGCCGAATCTCGCATTGTTGGTGAAGCTTGGTCCGTTATCCTTGCTGGAGGAAATAATACATGGCAAGACGCTAAGAACCCCTCTCCTGTCTTCCAGGTTGGTAACGCCGGCGATTCTGGCGTAGCTGAACTTTCCGACTTGATCTTCTCCACTCAGGGTCCACAACCTGGCGCTATTCTCGTCCAATGGAATATCCGCGATCCTTCTGGTCAACAAGGTGCTGCTGGTATGTGGGACGTACATTTCCGTGTCGGTGGTGCTGTCGGTACCAACCTGCAATCCGCTCAATGCTCAAAGGGTTCAACAACTGCTTCCTCTTCTTGCTTTGGTGCTGCAATGCTTCTACACGTGACTCCTTCCGCCTCTGCTTACCTGGAGAACGTTTGGGCTTGGACTGCCGATCACGACCTTGATGGCTCTGGTAACCAACTCAGTATCTACACTGGTCGTGGTGTCCTCATTGAATCTACCAATGGTCCCGTCTGGTTGTATGGAACAGCTTCAGAACACAATGTGAGTCACCCCGGAATTTTTATCTATACAAATTATCTGCAGATATCCTCCTCTTCTAACCCTATACCTTGTGATATATTAGGTCTTTTATCAATATCAAATCTCTGGTGCTTCCAACGTTTACATGGGAATGATCCAAACTGAAACTCCTTATTACCAGCCAGCTCCTGTCGCTACTTCTCCATTCACCGCTATCACCAATTTGTCTGACCCAATCTTTGCTAACTGCGCTTCTGGAAACTTGACTTGTGCAATGGCTTGGGGTCTTCGTGTTGGAAACTCTAGTGACATTTACTTATATGGTGCAGGTCTTTACAACTTTTTCAGTAACTACGATCAAACTTGCCTTCAAACTGAGAGCTGCCAAGACAATATGGTTGATCTGGAAAGCAACAGCAAGCTGTACGTTTACAACTTGAACACCAAGGCTGCCACCAACATGGTCTGGAGTTCTACTAATGGTCCTCTCGCCAAGCAAGCCGACAATACCAATGGCTTCTGTCAGACTATCAATGCCTTTTTGGTTGATGCTGGAACTTCATTGGGTTCTCCTGTCGTAGCTCCTTCTGCAACTCATGCTAATCCTACGTCCGTCATTACAGCTGCTTCCATCACTACATCAGCCGCCAAATCTACTGCCAGCAACTGATGATAATCTAGAAACCTATATTTATTACATCTTTATCTGGTATCATTATTTAAGTAATTTCACCTAGCATGAATAAAATAATGTTTATGGAATGGAAATAAGTGTTACTGTAAAGATGTACTAGGATATAGTGCCCAACAAAACCAGTAATAGTCCAGGCTATTATTATTGCTACTAATTGGTTTTCATGCTTTGAAAAGAGGCTGGTCCTTTTCCTTTAGTCATTTTAACATGTTATTTTTTTTTTAACCTTTTTTATTTTTTTGTTTGTTTGCTTTGGAAACGGTTTATGGCTAGAATGTCATGTCAGTGGTAGCAGTAACATATATGGCGTTTATAAACACCAGATATGGTTGTCAAGTTTATGCTAGCTCGGATGGGATCAAAAGTTAACCCTGAGGTATGGTAAATAAAAACTACTGAAAAGACAGAACGCGATTTGTACGTCCCAGAGTAAAACTTTATTACCCATCCTAAGCAGAACTATACAATTGAATCAATACTTTAAATGGAGCTCAATTCTCAATAGGAAGTTTCGACGGAGACAGTAACATACTAGCATTTTTACTCAAGTATTACAATATAATCTATTCGAATCTTTTCAAAAAATTCAGATCAGAAACCAAAATTGAACCTCCAAACTCCGCAACCGCTAGCAGAAAAATAAAAAAATATTGCCGAATACCTGGATCGAACAAGTGACCTTAGCATTACAAGTGCTACGCAGCTACCACTGTGCTAATCCGGCGAATTTTGATTTTGCGCCACTTGTACATTAGAAGATAGTAGATATCCTATCTCCAAATTTTCAATACTTATTCTTATGTTTCTAATTATTATCCTCTCGGTGAGTCAGCCTTGACGTGTACTTTGTGCATGGCCGCTGCTTATAAATTATCTAGAGTATGCCGGCTCTGACATTTCGGATTTGCAGTAAATAAATTATACCTCTTCGCTACATCCCCTGGTGGAGGCACAGTCAAAGGCGTCATCTCTCAATTGCTTCAACTAGTTATTTTATTTTATATTTTAAGTCTGGTAAGTCGTCCTATGAAAACATTAACCATGGAAGAGGGGTTGTTTTTCAGGTGATATTGGGAAGTGGAGAAACTTATTTTATTGAGAGATACCGTAAACTACATTAGATGGTCGAATTGAACCCATTAGCTATGTGTTAATTACCTGATAATTTAGTAAAATTTGTTGGTTATGGAAAGTCGAATTTTTGACCGCAAGGTACACCTCCCTGCACAAAATTCTCCCAATTCGAACATCTTGTCTATGTTCTGGTCCAACGGAAGATCTAAACTTGTTTACGCTAGGAAAGGAAGAAGAAGCGTCGATGGATTCCAGGTTTTAAGCTGCATGTGAATTGGGGCAGGAAATGACATTTCCATTCTGATTGTGTCGCCAATCAAGATGGAGTGACAGAATGCAAACGCATATTGAGAGTAATCGTCTCAGTCTCATGATAGCGATGAACAAACAAAACTTTAGTAAAATCTTTATGGTTTCGAAACATGCTAAGATGAGGACGAGGAGATATCTTAATGGGGTCGCAATGTATCTTGAAAGTGTATCTATGGGTACACCTTCCATACGTACTATTTCAAAGCATCATTTCCACATAATGCTAATTCTTTCCCGTGTCATTTTTATACGTGCAAATTGAATTTCTTGGCAGTAAATTGAATCAATGAAACCATAACGACGTGTTAACGGTGGAATTCGCATGTTGAGAATTGAGCTTCATTTCAAGCATTTGATTTAAGCTTATTGTCCTAGTTTTCTACAGACACGTTCAACCGCGTTTCTGAGTTTTCCGACATTTCTGCTTCCAAATTAATTTGCTTCTCAGCCTCAGAGTTCAGCTTTCATTGTACATTTCTTTGATCGATTCAGCATAAAAAATGATCCCAACACTTGGTTATCAAACTCCACGTAGCTTGTTGCTGCCACCGGTATCATCACCATAATTATATTGACTATACCTTTCCCCGCACCAATTCCAAGCGAAAATTAAACTAAAAATTTAACGTTAAAAATAATAACAATAATAACTCGTTGGAAAAACACGGTCAACCTTTCAATTGAATCTGACAGTTAATGTAGGTATAGAAGCGGCTGTAATAATGAAAGGTATATCCATGTTCCACGAGCGTCAGCGTAATTGAGCCATGTCCATTCGAATGGAGCGAAGGAGGGATATGGTACCCACCAATGCAGCCCCAAGGAACGATAGGTATTATGCATTTAACGACTGGCTTAGCTTTCCTGAACGGTTACAGCATAAAATAACGTTATCAACTACTTTATGTGTTGGATTTTTTATTATATAAATAAAGGCAAGCACGCTTTTCAAAGGCGTAGCTAACACATCAGGACTTGAGCGAACTTGAGGGATAGTTAGCATGAGCTGTGGAAGGAGCTACAGCAGGAGAAGCTGATGAAGTGCCATTAGTTGTGAGCCCAGGAAGGTCATTTCTACTTCATCTGACTTTCATCTTGGGCTCATCTTGCCAGAAATGAGTCAAGATGAAAGCGGGCAGTCCCATCCAGGGACTGCCAACTCGCATATTCAGGAACAGCAAAATTCTCGGCAATTCAATCTGAGTATAATACAGGCGAAGGTTGGTTGACGATGATCTGCAGATGCTATGGTTCATCATAGGTATGATTGTAACTGGGTGGTTATATAAAATCATATTCTGCTACAGCGGGCAGAACGGAGAACATGGTCTTTTGAAGCTGATAGTGAAAATAGACGCATTTTCTCATATTGTATTTTAATGAACTGATACATTATAACCAATATCAGTGTTCTGACAGTTCGAAACAGTGGTACTTTATCATATAGTGATACTTTTCTTATTGAATATCATTGATTAACTTGATTCTCATCAGAAATGTCATGCATTCACACCGATGCTAGATATGTAGGATCACCCAGCCAATCAGTGATTTTTCAATTTCTTTGTCTGACCAAAAAAAAATTGCATTGTTCTCTTTACTTTGTCACCCACCTTTTTTCCTCCCACTTTTCTCAAATGCTTCCCGCTAGCCAAACTGAATCTTCTACTGACTCGTCTCTCATCAGCGATGTTGAGCAGGCTCTTGATAGAGTGTACTTGCCAACTCTGCCTGGCGAAGCTCCTCTACAAACTGAAATCCTGGAGACCTTTGAGCTGACCATTGGAAACTCCGTTGCTTTGACCTCTGAAAACGTAGTAACATATGTCAATAACCGTAAGTATATTAGAACGTCAATAAATATTGGTTGCTATATCTAAGGTTGCCCACTTTTTCCCGGATAGATCTCGCAAACTACGTTGAGAACCGTCGCTTGCGCCTGAAAACAGCTATAAGTACTGTTCTGCAGCTGTTTTCTCTGGAACTCTATTCTCCCCAAAGCTGTAGTACTTCCTCAGCCTTTGTACCAGCAGCATGCTGATGGGAGATAACGGCCTGAAGGAGGCATTAGGTCTAGTGGACGGGACTGAAGGTCTAGGTAGGCACGACTTTGAACCGGGCACCTGGTTCCTATATGTCAGGAGGTTTGCTGTACCAATCCAAGGAATGCGGGACATTCTGGAGGATTGGGAGACAGCAGACTACTTCCTAGATAAAGCCGCCATCAGGGAGGACATCATCTCGGAGCAGGACACTCTAGATGGTCTGGTGTATATCCGGTATGTCGGTCAGTGCCAATTCCCGTCCACACCAGAAGGCCGATTTGCTGAGGACGCGGCATCTAGAAATAGTGGTGTCCTTTCTCATCTCCTCACCTCGTTGGCCAATGTTTGTCCTGAAGCATATCAGGCAGCGAAGGTGTTGGGTTTGGGAACCACTTTTCAGCACAATGTCACTGCAGACACTGTTGATGACTTTGAGTGGCTGCTCATTGGCCTCCTTGGACATGGCTGGTTGTTAAACAGCCAATAAGGAGGCTACTATGACAGGTTCGATGTCATAGATGAGCACAGAGTCATTTTCACAAATCTGCAGACAAGGGTTGCAGATCGATGGGGAGCGAGAAGGTCCAATATTTCTCAGGCTCATGAAATTTCTGTCAGCCTGAGAACTCGCCTCCAGGACATCCAAGCATGGATACATGATAACATTTCCATCATGCATTCAATGGACGCAATATATATGGAGATGTTATGAACCGAGAGAATCCCGCGGAAGTATCAAGGCAATGTTCTTACTTGTCTGGTTGGAGATTCTGTCACTGTGGAAGACTATTTACAACAAATGGACTATCTGGATAGACTTTCCAACACAGGCACTAAATCTAGGTCTGCTCAGAAATACATCGAAGCCGTCCAAGCTTTAGTCGAATGTGAAGGTCACAGCCTATCTCAGCTGCAGACAGAATCCGATTTTTTGAACCTGTTTCCATTTGTGAATATGATTCCTTGGGTGGGACGGCCATTTGTACCAACTGCAATTGGCTTCTTGGGGCGCTACTTACAAATTGTCCAGGCCATTATTGTAGTTGCTATGGGAGTATTACTTGCAAATATACTTGCCTGCAACATGACTCACACGAATGGACTTCCGAATGGCAAATATACACAACATGTTGGAATTCCCACGATTATGTCATGTACGTCTAAAGACTGCGTGTATGATGAAAATGCTGATGAGCCTGACCCAAGTACTCTGTCCATCCTTATACCGATATTTGATCCTGGAATGTTCAAGCATCACGGATATACAAGGCTACCAAATACGCTTTTCCACCTTTGAATGCAAGTCCTGTTCTTGCATATCAGTGAAGCGATGACAATGCTAGACGAAGGAGTCATGTTACACCCAGTTATCCGAAAACAGTTCCTGGTGACATTGAAGACTAGGTGTTCCAGCAAAATGGAACAGTCTGGCTTCCGAGATGCGCTTGAGACTACTGGAGGTGAACTTCAAGCAGAATGGGAACGGCAAGGTGCGATAAGGTTCAAGCAAGCACCACCGAATGAATCTGTCCGTATCCGGAGAGCCGAAGCAGCCACGGATGTCATGGTAATTGCTGAAATGGCCGCGAGACATCCATCGAGTGAGGAACGACGTCGGCAGTTCCATCGCCTGTGGAAAAAAACTCTTCCCATGCGGCAGGTACCTGCCGGAAAATACTACTCCACGTCGTTGATGGCAAGGGCTCAGAATGTTCTGCGACAAGACGAAGGCAGGCACCCTCTGGAGCAGATACTGCGTCAGTATGCGCCGCCTACTGCGCAAAACGATGACTGGACGTGGGACGAGGAGCAAGTGACGGCTGCACTCACCTCTCACGGGAGAATGATGGCGGAACCTCTCAAGCGGGCCAATCCTGAGTACTTCTCCTCCGCGAATCAACGTCTCAGAGCGATGGCGCGGCATGGGACGGACCCCAACTTCCCTATCAGCTTGCATGGGCAGAGGGTATCAGTGAAAACCCATGGACGGATGACGGTTCATTGGAGGGATACTGTGCTGGACAGGGACGAGATTTTCAGGCTCAATTGCAGGCAGGCGTGTCATGCATCGGACCCTCCCCGGACCGTACAAGTCACAGCAGAAGGGATAGCAATTCTCGACGAGGTTGGCAGGCTGATTCGAATAAACGGGGGCCAGCGCACGTACGATTGCTTTCTGTTAAAAGGTGACTTTGCCAAGAGGAAGAATGGGGACACTTTGGGGAAGGCTTGGGTCAAGTCCTTGGAGTTGGAGGGAGTCCTTGTACCTGTGGAGGAGCCTGTTGCTGGTGGT